ATTCTTCTTCTGTCGTACTCGCTCAACTTCTTGTGCACCACCTGTCTTCTTCAGTTTATTATGAGCTACGAATTCACTCAGTTCGGCTTCGAACTCATCTATCCGATTAGCAAGTTCTCGTTCGCGTGCCTTCTCGGCTTGCTCTAAAGCTCTAAGCCGTTTGTCTGAATTAGGCGATATGCTACGTACCTCTTGCATGACAGTCTTCAACCCCTCAAACCCTTCCTCATGTGGCGCAACACGGAATTCTGGCTTTTTCTTTGATAGAATTTCAACTACCTTCAGTATGTGACTGAAAACTTCAGACATTTTGTCGTGGTCATCCTGCATGTCTTCAACTAGTTCTTCTTGATGATTAAGGAATTTCTGTTCCTCAACAATAGTCTGTAATTCCTCCTCCCACGTCTTCTTCCACATTGGTTTAATTGTTTTGACATACTGTGCTAATGACTCAAGTTCTTGAGCGACAGCAGCCGATTCCTTCTGAATATGGTCCATAGACGATGAACGTGGACGCCATTTACGTTGTGTGACATCGGCTTTCAGTCCATCTATGATGTCTTGTAACGCATCCATTCGTTTCAAAAGATTTTTAGATCTATCATCCAGTTTAGCTTTGCCACTGTCAATAAAAGCTCTTGCACCACCAACATTGGTCAGAGCAAATTCTTTAATAGCTGTGGTTTTTTCAGATAAAGAGTGTATGAGGGAAGTGGTGTCATCCCGGAAGCCATTATACAGCTGACGCATTATACCGAGATCTCTACGAAGATTCCGGATCTCATCGTACTGAGAGCGTAATTCGTTTGTTATTTTTTCTACTAAGTGTTCTTTACTAGAATGATGTAATTTCTTGTCTTCCTTATTTTTTACGTTAGCTAACATCTTACGAGCTATTTCTCGGAATTGCGTCTCCGATGGGGTAGGTCGTTGGTTATTGGCATTTGTTAGCAATACGCTTCCACGACGCAATAACTCAGTATTCTCAGTGAAGGACTTTTTAATATCTCGAATCTCCTTTGTAAGATTCTCAATACTCTGATCAAAATGTTTCTTAACCTGTTCGAGAGCTGTTGATAAAGAGGAATAGCTTTAGTATGGTAGTATGTATCAAATGTTTGGTAATAAAACAATCTTACTTTCAATATTTAACGCCAAGACTGAATTATCTTTTACTTCATCCAGATTCTCCAATTCGTAGAGTAAGTCCAATTTGGAATCCTTTATGTAAATATTTGGGAAATCATCTAAACCCGGATTATATTCGAATTTTTCGATAAACAACATTCTTAAGGCTGGGATACTTATGTCTCCATCGTAGAATACTTTCTTAACTTGTTTTCCAACTTGAAGAAACAATGTCAACACCTTTTTCGTTGAATCATCTAATTTCATTACAGTATTAGTAATATCCGACTTGTATAAATATATCATCGTATATATAGACTCGAGTTACGCAATAGATACAAACCAAAGTTATCCATAGCTTTAACCTACGGTAGCTGTATATTGTCCGAAGCTTCCTGAATCTCTTCTTCTATCGCTTCCTTTGACTCTCCATCCTCCAAATTCGCCTTCTCGCTATCTATATTCCCATTCTCCTTCTCTTCTCTTGTCTCATCCAATTCCTCTTTGACCTCCAATATCCTTGGTCCAATTGATCTCCCATACATCTCTTGTGGACCTCTTACACCACCTCGTCTTGCGTCCCTAGTTGATTTCATCACGTATGCCGACTGCCTTTTTGAGGCTCGTCTTTCCAATGCATCACTCTTCTTCAACGCAGCAAGCGGATCAGAAGTACCAACCAAATTATTCCTTGACGGTGCGCTTATGTTTCGTTTTAGAGCAGAATTTTGAGAAGTATCTGATAGATCAGCGTCCGATTGCAGCGAGCCCGGCGATGACCACGTTCGAGAGGGCCCAGATCCAGATGCAGATCCAGATGACATACTTCCAGTTGTCATTTGCCGCGTTAGTCGAGTTGTTTCCGCAATCCCCATTCTTTGTCGGTATAGGGCTTGGTTAGCTTTAAGACCTTGAAGGAGAGAAATTATAACGTCACGGATTTGAGGAAGGTACTGTTCCAGGGATTCTGGGGATGCTTCCTCGCTTAAGGCTTTTTCAAGGCATTTACGGAGTTCTTCGGGTATGTCTTTTAAGTCGCTGGTTTTGAAAATTTCGAAAGTGTAGAGGAGCTGAGATATGCGAACACGCCACGCCAAGTTGAATTCTTGTGTGCAAGTGAGAGCTTTATTGCAGGTGTCAAATACACCGAATCCGACTCACCTTGTTTCAAGTCCCACCCGATTGAAGACATGACATACCCCGTGGAATTCTCCAATCAGTTTGACGTATATGTCTGATACCTGTTGTTCCGTTGTTCGCTTTTGGCTCCAGGCAGTTAACCCTTCTAAAAGTTGCTTGGTGCATACCAATAACTTTGTTACTGATTGTTCGATGTTGCTCATCTAGGATAAAATCGTAAGAAAGTCGTTACAGAGCTAACGAAAACGGTTACCGTCGGAAGATCTGTACTTACTGGACTGCCCGAGCCTCTCTTTTGAGGGGATGCGGGAGGCTGCCGTGTAGCATTAAGAGGTGTAGAGGTAGTAGAAGACTGGGTGACGATCTGGGGTGTAGGCATTTGAATACTAGAGTAGTCCATTATTATTGTTGACGGGCTGTTGGAAAGCCCTAGATTCTTTCATCGCAAGGCATCTGGATTCTTTTGATGCCCACGTGAAATATATCGCTTTTTAACCTATAATAATAATAATATTGCGAACTGGTGATTAGAGTTGGTCTCTTATAGTCACGTGTTAGTCATGTGATATTAAATGCAGGCGGTGAGATTCAGTTATAAAGGATTTTGATGTATCAAAATTGTAGAAAACGCGAAATTATTATTATTATGTCAATTTTTTTAATTTTAAAATTGGTGTGCGTAACGTAAGGCTTTCTTTTTTAAACACTTCTCTTGAGTAATTGCCAGATAGGCTCTCATAGTGGTAAAGCGAATAAAATAATAAGTAAATATTTTCCGTATAATTTTATGGAGCGGGTTCGGCGCTTGTGAGGTTATGCGTGCGTTTGGGATTGTTGTGAATTTATAATTATCACTTCGTTAATTACAATGGTGTTTTGAGAAACCAAACAGAGATTTAAAAGGCCGTCTACCATTGGTGTAGATCAGACACACAACGAAGCTGCGAACATTGCGCTTGACACCGGGAATTGGGAATGAATACCGCAACCCCCAACATTCTCAATCAATTCCTTGGGCGTCTCCTCTTTCTCCGCTCTCTAGACTTGCGGATAGACTGGGATTCCCCCAGTAAAATACAATCTTTCATAAATCTAGCAGGAAATAGATACCTCCCCCTCCCCAAATAACTGCAGTCCTACGGGCTTTTATTCTCTTCCTCTACATGTAAGTAAAACAGCTTAAACTGGGCTTTAGCGAGCACCTCGTTATGAATAAAAGTTTCTCGACCAGTACCTTCAGAATGACAACAAAGAAGTAAATTTGTCATCGGATAAGTCTTGGCTCGCGACTGAACATTAATTAAGACCTGAGATCAAATCGCTTGTAATACTGTTGATGCTGTTTTGTTAACTAATTTAATGGCTTTGTAATTGTTGGTTCATAAATCTCCTGAACGGGCACATTTTTTATTGTCAGAAATACTTTTAATATTAAAATCATTACTATCCTGTAATTTTGGAAATCGCAACAGTGATTGCGTATCACATGTACATCGTTAAATGCTGACCGCAGTTTTGAGGATTTTGTTCGTAAATGTAAATTTATTTTAATTAAATATGTTCACATCATATGGTTTGAATGAAATAGAATACCGTCCTATCTAGACGAAACATTTTCGAAATACACGAATAATTGGCGTGATGTGATATATGCCAATATTAAAGTAGCCAGTTGCTCGCGTATTTATAAATAAATTTGGCATACGTTTGGCCGTAGACAGTAATCGGGTAGAATAACTCGAGCGGATTTACCAACCTCGATAGACAGAACAGTCCTGGAGGGAATACAGACCGAACGGTACAATCACGAGCTCACCACGATCTGAGAAGAGCGCTGATGTAAATACATAAACGTAAGTCTTATTGATGCATCTAACAGCATAATTATTAGTTGAACGATTTTCCTTAGTTCATAGAGCAAATTGTCAGTCGAATTGGGGTGGGGGTATTTCGGTGATTTCTACTTGCATTAATCCCGCTTTACCTTCTTTACACACTCTATTTGTTTCTCTTCCCCACTGCTCTCACCACTTCCAAATCGCATCTTTCGTCTTAATTCAAGGAA